ATTCTGTGTCTACCAAGATGAAATATAGAAAAGTTATTGATTTATAGATAATTGTCTTATATTCATCGAACGAGCAATTCCTTTCGGCTTCATCCTCTCATTGAAAAAAATAATCAACCAACGGCGGTTTTCTCTTCTGTTTTAATTAAAATTAATGCTTGATGTGCGTTTGTCTGGTAAAAGTTATCATATTAGAAATAAACAAGCCTCTTGGAGCATATCACTGCATCATAAACAGCAACTGAAGAAAATTTACGTCATGCTTCAAAATCAACAGAACAATTTATATAGCCAAGACTCTAGTTCATGTTGCTGACTGTTTCAGTCAAGTTTGTGAAGTTCACGTCATACTTGAATAACACTAGAGTTGGTTCTCATATAATGAGCACACATGTGACTAACTGTACTATTCAAAATACTTCCATGTTTCTATCTGTCAAAATAAGATATGACCACTCTGGTTGCTTCAATTTTTGCCAGATTTTATTGTAACATGTTGAGGATTATTTATATTCTTTTTTCCTTTTTTGTTTCACATTCCATCTTATATAACGTATGGTATATTCAGGCACAGTAAAATGAATGTAATACTGATATCTTTTAGATATTTTACATTAGGCAGAAAAAACAAAAGGATTTTTCTTACAATATGATCTGTTCTCTCCAATCTCTCCAACGCATCTAAAAGCCTACAGAATCACAGGATCCTCCTGTTTGAACGAAATGAAAAGCTGATTAATTTTAATAATATCAAAGAAAGTAATTTTTATTATATTGTTCAGTCTTGTTGGAATGTCAGGTCATAAACAAAGAAATTATAACAAATGCCATTCAAATTTCTTATTTTTTTTTTTTTTTTTATCATTTAATTTTTTGTTTATGTCTTTCCTTATCTTATTCTCTTGCAATTATATTTTCTTTTCTCTTGCACTTCGCTTGTTGTATTTTTTTGAATGGTGTAATTTATTAGAAATTGCCTTTATTAGAACATTTTTTCATTATCTTATTCAAAATGAAAATCAATAATTTTTTGATATTCTTCATTCTTATAATTAATATCATTATGACATTTTTTTTCAATTTCTTAAGTCCACTATATCCTTGCTTTTTTGTGGATAATTATTCTATCTATCTATATTTTTTTCGCATCATTCTTCTTTTTTTTTTGTTTTTGTTTATGGCTTTTTTTTTTCCTTCGTTCATCTATTCTTTTTATTTTTTTTTTTTTTTTTTTTTTGTTTGTGTGTGTGTGTGTGTGTTTGTTTTTTTATTGGAATATTTTCTATTGTTGATTAAATAAGAAAATAATTAAATTATCTCATTCTGTTTTTTTTTTTTTTTTACATGTTTTACTTGTGTTCCGATTTTTTGACTGATAATGAGTGTCAATTTTTTGAATGTAATCATTTTGTTTTTATTTATTTATTTTCTATTTTTTATTCTTTTATCCTTTATCTTTGATTATTGTTAATATAAATTTCTATATTATAACTATCTATGAAATTGTGTTAATTTTGTTGGTGTACACTTTTTTGTGCAGAAATATTTTGAACTGAATTTCAATTTTAATCCTTGTGCACTTTTCTATGTTCAGCTTGTTTAAGTTTATTCATTTACCCCCTATTTTTTTTGAAGAAATTAATATTTTCTAATTCTCTAGGAAATACAATAATTGGATCTAATTATCAAAATCTTAAATGTATGTAATAAAACATATTACTTATGTTTAAATATAGCGTTTGGGGGGGAGGGGGGTGGGGGGTGAGTGTCCGGTGTGTGTGGGTGGGCAATGGATGTGTGGGGTGTGTGTGTGGGTGGGTGTGGTGTAGGTGGGTGTGGGTGTAGGTGTAGGTGTAGGTGTAGGTGTGGTGTAGGTGTGTGTGTGTGTGTGTGTGTGTGTGTGTGTGTGTGTGTGTGTGTGTGTGTGTGTGTGTGTGTGTGTGTGTGTGTGTGTGTGTGTGTGTGTGTGTGTGTGTGTGTGTGTGTGTGTGTGTGTGTGTGTGTGTGTGTGTGTGTGTGTGTGTGTGTGTTGTGTGTGTGTGTGTGTGTGTGTGTGTGTGTGTGTGTGTGTGTGTGTGTGTGTGTGTGTGTGTGTGTGTCTATAGATATGTATTTATCATCATTAAAGGTAAGTTTTGAATATAATATGAACAATAAATACTTTTATAGAATCTGTGTGCAAAATATATATTCAAGAACTGCCATCTGCTGTATCAAACTAATTAATCACAAAAGTGCTCAAAATCATATATATTCATTACTAACATAAGAAAGAGGGAAACTCACTACGAAAAGAACATAAAATGATTTTAATTCAATATCATGTTTATATTTGTGCATTTTTAGCTGTCACTAAGTATTTACACTAGTTCCATCTTAGTTAACAGTGATTTGGTCTTTAATATCAAAATATTGGATAAATTAACTTCACTGCTGGCACTAATTCATAACAAGTTATTATCCTGAGGCATATTGACAACACTAATTAGACCAGACTACACCTTTGCAGTAATCAATATGGTAGTTGAAGTAGTGTCTCTAATGGTTAATTTTCTGTTTAAAACTCGAACCTCACGTTTTACAGACCTGTTCTTAGCTGTATTTACATATCATATCATGACAAATGCATAAAAAGCACTTAAATATATCACCAGACCGAAACTGGACTTCAAAAAACTTTACTTATATTTCGGCATAACATCAGAGTCCTTACATAAAAGACAATTCACAACCATCAACCGAAGAGCAAATAAACATTACCATAACGCTAAATAATACAATAAAAAAGATAGAAACGAAATCAGGGGGAAAATATAAAACCACGAATCCAAACTATTGATTTTTTTCACCTGCATTCCCTTTTTGTGGTGGAATCCCACCACAATGACGTGCAGGGCTATGGGATCTTTCTCCGCCTCGTTCATTTTCGCCTCTTGAACCACCGGAGGACAAACGGGCGAGAAAAATACTCTCCGAGGAAAATCTCCCCCATTCACTTCATGACAATGGTGTTTACATCAGCAAATACGTCGCTTACACTACAGGTTCGCAAGTCGGACGTCGCGCCATCATAGAAAACGTGTGAGTTTACCGTTATTCATGGGAGATTTGTTTTTTTAAGGGGTAACTGTGGAATTATGGAGCTTTTTTCAAAAGTAATATTGTATTTTTTTTTTTTTTTGGGGGGGGATGATTATAGTGTCTTGGGAGATAATGGAGAAATCTACCTTAGCTTGGTGCCTTACGCTTGAATCTTATCGAGAATGAGGTGACAATGGAATTCTGAGATTATTTGGGGGGGGGTAATTTTTTTTTGTTATTTTTTATGATATTCTTGTTATGAAGTGAGCTTACCCAACCCCGTGGAGGACCTTCTTCTAAGAGATGATTACGAAATTGCGTTTTTTTTATTTTTGTTGTTGTTGTTGTTGTTTTCTTTTTGTGACGGACTGGTTGTGAAAATAATGGAGACTGTGACATCCATATTACGGGTCATACTAATTACTGCCCGGTGCTAATGAATCTACTACCCGGTAGCTATAAACGCATTATTTATCGTTTTTTATACATAAAATTCATGTTTTCAAGGTAAATTAGTCTTATATGTATTTTCAGGTCATTTCACAGGCGATCAGACGAGATTTTGACCTGTCTATTTTATGGCCGTACTTTTACCATTGTCTTATGTATCCGGTCGCCATGTTTTCTCTCTCAAAAATTTAAAAAGAGCTTCTTGATAGAATTCTCTATTATCCATAGCAACTGATACACCAAATAAAAAAACAAGAACTTTTTTTTTAATTCTTTATCATAATAGTGTCAGCGCCAGTCTCGCCCATAAAATGACCTGAAATATAAGAATAAGAAAATAGATGAGAACATATAAGACAAAAATGGCACGTAATGCATTTACAGCTAAGGATGTAAATTCCTTTCACACATGATAAGTTCCAGAGCCTGTTTTATATCAATTCGCCGCGAACAAAACAAAACATCTCAGTCGGACACCTGTGCCCGTACAAGTATCGCTATAAAACAGGAAGGTCAAAATCTCGCCTGAACGACCATGAAATGGCCTGGAAATGCGTATAAGAATAGATTATCTTGAACACATGAAATTTATAAGAAAATGAGGAATAATGCGTTTATAGGTAGCGGGAGGTAGATTTATTAGCAGCGGGGAATACTCGTTTTAAATTCACAACAGACCGTATCCTGGAGCTTCGGTCCTGAAGATGCTTTTCTCATTAGATCAGGGGATGATAAGGTGGTACAGCTTTTATTCTTTATTGATATATATTACAAAAGGGAGATGTTGAGACTGGTAGGCGATAGGACTCTCTGCCTCGTGATGTTGTGACCTCGCTTCCTAGTTTCCTGCAAGAGGTCACGTGTCGGTCTTTTGACGACTCTCCGTGGCGCTTGGCAGTCGCGTGTCTTGGATCCGAGTTCCTCTTTTGGAATATTTCGAGATATAAGAGTTCGTTCTCTGAACTCTGAGGGGTTAAGGTGCTGTCACACTAGCTCCTTTTCCGTCATTTTTTTTTTTTTTTTTTTTTACAGTTTTCTGATTTTCCCCATTTTTGAGCGAATTGTCGATTTTCCAGTCAGACGATAATGATCGTTCCCGTCTGAAAACCTTTCCGCCAACTTTTTCAGCCAAGCATAGTCAAATCAAGAGCTATATGCGAGAATGTTTGTATTCATGTTATATAAAATTGTCAAAAAATTGACGGAAAAAGTGCTAGTGTGACAACGCCTTTATTGAACCCATGAAGTTTCACCGTAAGTCGTCCGTATCTTTTGTGCGCTGTCCTAGTGCCAGTCTGCCCAGAAACATATTAACAAAACAGTGGAGTGCAGAGCTCTGGCGATGCCCGATTCCATTTCGGTTTTTGTCTGAAGAGGAACTCGTGAAGAGTTCGAAACGTTACGATTATTTTCAATTCTCAATGTAGCTATTTTCATTTTCATTTTTGTGTACACGTTCCTGTGTTTGTGCTTGTGTTCATTCTAGTATAAGGCCCAGTATTGAGGAATATTATGAGAAAGGGAAACATTTTGAATATGGAAATAAAAGTGAAACATGATAAAACACTTTATTCGATTTGAAAATAGATTTCAAAATCACTTTTATTTCATTATCTGACTGGATACTCCTCGACAAACAATAACACCGAACCGACAATAACAGAAATAAAACAAGATTATGAAATGCGTCATTACTCTTTCAACAATCATTTGACAGCATAATCATTGCTACATCTACTAATTATAACACAGGAAAGATTTTTTTAATGCAGACAGGCAGTAGTAACTACATATAAGGAGTGAGAAAATACTCTCATGCCAAGTTACAAATAACCGAGGAACAGAAAATGCATATCATTGTTATTATCACAACTATCAATATCATTAATATTATTTTTTTTAGTCACCATCTTCAATATGATTGCCATCATTATCGAATATCACTATTACTATTTTGATAGTAATAATAATAGTGTAAAGGATAATGATATTTCAATTATCATTATAACAATCATTGTAATACATGAGATATTGTACAAATAATGGTATCAAATGTATAAAAGTAGGACTCAGCTTTAGTGAAAGGAACGAGCGAAAATCAATAGATACCACCTGATACAAAATTCAAATAAATAATTTGAATTATAATATTTAACACGATTTTTATATATAATTAACACTTGATCATTTGAAAAAATACTGATATTATTGCTTTCTAATTAAAGTTGGCAACCGGTATTATTATTTTTCTTTCCTGAGTACCTTCCTGTAAAACAACTGAGCGTAAGAAGGGCATATAATGTTTCTTTTCAGTAACATTATTTTTTGTAGCCTTTTTTTGCGCTTGAAAGAATTATCACATGAGGAAAAATTTACATGCCTAATCGGATGATGATTTATTTCTTATCAACATAATATTCTGTAGTTATTATCTCCCGTAGTTATATGCAAATGTCTTCGATCGATATTCTGCACTTATATCCTCTACACATGCAAGTGTTTCCGATCTTATAAATATTAGTTATTACAAAAAATGAATTTTCCGTTATCGAAAATCTCGATTAACCTATTCATACAAGTAATGAGGGTGATCATGGCCATAATAATAACTTAAAAATAACTATAGCATTACCAATTATTGTTGCATCTCTAGCATTGTTTCCATGATCTCCGCTAAAAATATCTGAAAGAAGAAAAAAACAGGAATGCTAAAATATTATAACTGCAAGGAAGATAAAAAGGGAGGGGGAAGCGAGAGAACAACTAGTAGTATCAGCAATAAGCAGAGAAATAAAATAAAAGTAAAAACAAAAGAAACACTAATTGCATCGCCTGAGTACTTTGCGTGTAATGCACCATTATCAATTTTTTACAATCATTGCAGTCTTTTATATGTACAATAAGATCAAATTTCAATGAACTAATGCTGAACTATCAAATAAACAAAATTAAACATGCAATAAAGGAAGATTGCATATAAGCTGAAATTGATCATATTTCTTTAGTCTACGCGCACTAATTTCTTACAATGATAATGTATTCATAACATATTGTTAATTATTTAAACATCTTCCAAATTCAGGTTATTGGAAATCTTATTTCATCTCAAAATTATAATGAATGGTTTATATATAACCAATCTCGTCAGTGACTAATTATATATATTTGTTCTGATGACTTTGTGAATGCTTAAGATGTGAATGATGATTATCTATCATATTCAATATATGACACAAATATTTTGGTGATGAATGCGGAATCAATAAAAAAAGAAAATATCTGGAGCTATAGAAACGCAAAATTCCTTTAATGGCAGCTTTGTTAAGGTCTTAAACTCTTACTTTTTAGGATCCAGGATCGAGCGAGTACTTCTTTTGGGAAAAGTTAATAGGATTTTATTGCACTTGCTCGTATCTGGTGGTGACACGTGTGTTCTCCGGAGATTACGTCCCCTTCTCGAGGTCATAGGTCACTCAGGTCGGCAGTTATGCAGGCAGACTGTGTGGAATTCATGTGGAACAAATTGCAACAGGAATAACGAAGGGAAGAACAAGAAAACACACGAATATGCCGAAGGCCTTTTCGCTATTGCTTCGAGCCCTGACGAAGCAATAGCGAAAAGGCCTTCGGCATATTCGTGTGTTTTCTTGTTCTTCCATTCATTGTTCCTGTTGCAGGCACATTGCAACAGGTCGCTCGGTTAAAAAGACGAATAAAATCAGTGCGTTTGCCCAGGTTAGCCGTCTTGGCAGTCGTATTGTAGAAATAGAAAGAATTGTAAATATTTGAAAAAAAGATGATGCCATGAAAGGAACGACAGTTAATGATTATGATTATAATAATGATTAAAAGGTAAAATGTATATGAGTGATATTTTACGACGATGATCGCAGACCCTTTAAAAACTTAGAAAATTAAAAATCGTAATGATTGAATGAAGAAAAATAATAATAACGAAATAACTGTTTGTTCATACATATGACAATAATGTGAAAATTTATTAATAGTAATGGCGAAAACAGCAGGAATATATTAGCTAAATTGTTGTATATTTCTTATACGTTCTGTGCAATTTTCCAGTTGCTTGTAGAATTATCTTCATGTAAAGTAACTAAATGTAATAAGAAATTATCATAATCGAACGTATATATTTCAGTTCATATCACTATTATATTTTATAACTATTCACCTTTATCTAACCCCACTTTCGACTCTTTTCGATATCAAATGAAACAATTGTAACAAAAGTGTATCATCAATCATTATTGTAAAGAAAGATATTGTTATTCTCTTAAATATCTCATAACTATTAATAATAGTAGAAAGAAATATTGAAAGCTGTACACACTCTCTCTCTCTCTCACTCACTCACTCACTCACTCACTCACTCTCTCTCTCTCTCTCTCTCTCTCTCTCTCTCTCTCTCTCTCTCTCTCTCTCTCTCTCTCTCTTCTCTCTCTCTCTCTCTCTCTCTCTCTTCTTATCTCGTTATTGTGCGAATCTTTCAATATTACTTTCATCTGCTGATATTAGTAGTTGTAAGAATGATAACGCCCATGCAGTAATTACTGATAATGTTACGTCACACACACACATATATGTTTTCATATATATATATATATATATATATATAATATATATATATATATATATATATATATATATATATATATATATATATATATTATATATATTATATATATGCATATATACATATACATGTGTGTGTGTGTGTGTGTGTTGTGTGTGTGTGATATATATATTATAAATACATACATATATATATATATATATATATATATATATATATATATATATATATATATACATATGTACACACACACACACACACACACACACACACACACACACACACACACACACACACACACACACACACACACACACACACACACACACACACACCACACACACACACACATATATATATACATATATATATATATATATTTTGTGTGTGTGTGTGTGTGTGTGTGTGTGTGTGTGTGTGTGTGTGTGTGTGTGTGTGTGTGTGTGTGTGTGTGTGTGTGTGTGTGTGTGGTGTGTGCGTGCGTGCGTGCGTGCGTGCGTGCGTGCGTGCGTGTGTTGTGTGTGTGTGTGTGTGTGTAGCATGTTTAGTATGTGTTTCTGCAAATTAATTAACATCAGTGCCATTATATACATCTAAAAGTCCCCAAGAAAATATAACATTTTAAGAAATCGTATTGGCAAACATGGCCTTTGTTTACGTCCTTCCCATGCGACGGTCTTGAACTCGGAATCAATTTATCATAATACATTGTATTCCGTGATCAAACTCTCGATTTTCGGAATAGTATTATGAAGAAAAAAATACCATGTAATACGTTGGTATCTTTTCATATATTTGGGTTGTCCTGTTGATCAAAGAAACAAACATACAGGGGCGGGGCCAGAGAATTTTATGGTGGGGTATTGGGGGTAACAACAATAAATTAGGGGGGGCGCAAAAGTAAGAATGATTATAATAATAAAATAAGGCTACCTACTTTAATATTTATATTGTAAAGTTACACATTGTTTATGTTTTCATCTTCCTGTTTGTGTGTATTATATATATAATATAATATATATTATTATTATATATTAATATATAATATATATTAGTATATAAATATCATATATTAATATATAAATATTATATATTAATAAGGGGTCAGTGACAACCGGGGGGATACGGGGTGGCCAATCAGATTGCAGGAGAGGCGGGTGCCCTCTCGTGCCTCTGCAAACATATAAATAAACTTACCAACTAACGCTACCAAAACTTATTCATAATCTAATATATATTTTTTTATCAACATATTTTTATAAGGTAATGCATCACTACAAGAAATTTCCACATTCGAACTAATACATATCATGAATCTGATGTTGATTTATCTTTTTAACATTATATTCAGTAGTTATTGTTCGTCATTCCTCCCCGCATACAATTCTTTTCGACCTAGATTTAATTCTTATAAGATATACGGCATTTTTCGCTATCGATGATCTCGAATTTCCAGTAAATAAACTTTGCAAGACATATGATAAAAAAAAAAACTTTTCTTTATAGACTGCTTATAAATATCAACAAAAACGAGCAGTTTCATCGACCGAGTATAGACATTACTCCATTTAGTACATTCTCTTATATATAGTTAAATTTAATTTCAATAAACTTATGTCCAATCATCTAAGTAACTTTAATTATTCATCTTCACGTAAAACTTACCATTACAAATTAAAAATCCTCAGACACATGTAATAATGATGAAAAAGGAATTTACGATAGCAATTTTCACAAAAAAGTTCAAAATTTCCTCTGAACGCTATCGTTTTCTTATTATCTAATTTAAATAACTTTTTTTCAGACTGCTTGTAGTAGAGTAAATATGAAATTGTAGTAATGTTCTATTGAACGAGAGAGAAGACAAATTTTGAATCTTTCACGATATATTACTTTTCCCGAATAGCTTAAATTACTACTAATTTGAAATACAGCAATGATATTCACGTTGATCACTACCATCGCGATTATCAATAAAACTAATAAAATAATTGCCATAAAAATAAAAATAAAAATAAAAGGACTAGGGAATTGGACCCTAGTCTCCCACCTCGCAGGTTGGCGTATAGGATATTTAAAAAAATACTAGGACATAAAGTTGCTGATTTGAAAAAAAAAAGTAAAAATAATTTTCTTTGAGGTCCTACAACTTTTATTAAAAAATATATGTATGAGAGAACCCTAAAATTTATACAGATATATCTTGCCACTATAGTTTTGGTATTGTTCAGCAAATAATCTACATTTCTAAGTCTTGAAGTTGTTTCTTTACCTATTCCAAGGAAACGCATGTAGTCTGTGTAAAAGAAATGTTAATAATTGTTTTGACCTAGCATATAGTAGTTTAAAACAATTAATTTCTTTTTAAGAAAAATTGTTTTTAATATGGTAGGTGGAATCTATTTCTTACTCATTTCTACTTTTGAAAACCTTTAGGAATTGGAAGAAAATGGTTTCATGCGTGTAGAGATCTGATCTTTTTTTCTTTTTTTTTACACAAATTTATAGGAAAATGTTGAACTGCAAGCCTTAATATCATAAATCATAGCTATATATGGTCTTCAAGACTAATATCTAAACATGATGATTTAAAAAATGCAGTGAATTTTCATAACTCACCACATAAAACCCATATATATTTTTTGAATCCACTGATTCTTGCTAAAATTACCTTACAGCAGATTTACTTTTCCCCCCCAATTCACACCCCAGTTCTTTAAATTTTTCTTTTAGCTTCACAACTGTTACACAGGCGATGACAACATGTTTCAGGAGAGAGAAGAAGCTATGAATGTATCTGTTCATCAAAGGCCTAGATATTATAAGTGAGATATATAGTTCTGTTGCATTCTCTTATCCCTTGCACTGTAACCAAGAATGGCAATTAGAAACCACTAACTGCAATATTTATCCAAGTTCTTTTCAAAGATGATGAACAGATTTTTAATTTCAAATATACGGAATGGCAATTACAAATCCCTAAAAATAATATTTATCAAGGTTCTTCTCAAATATCTTGACTTCCAGACAGATGGCTCAGCTTCCAAATATTGTGCCAGAAATGAGGAAAACATGCTCGTCAGATGAGAAAGGTTATAACAACAAGACTGCATTTCTATACATCATTTTTAATAAACTGAAATCTATGATACACATTGACACATACTCCATTAAAAGGAGCACATTAGGAGAATATAATACCTAGTTGCACTTACTAGAAACTTCTTCACAAGATGGAGAGTGATGTACTGTGATGACACCATGGTTTGCACACCACAATTCTTTTTAAACCATAATTTTTTTAAAATACAAAAAAAGAAAAAAAAAAAAAAAAAACATACTGAAATAACAGCTGATAAAAAAATTACAAAACACTTATACTCCATGTGTGATTAACCAAGTCGACCTTCTGACTTCCGGGAAAGAAGTGGCGGAAGTCAAATATGGGTTTTCAGTTAAATTGAGTTCATCGCGTAGACACTTTGGAAAACTCCTGCCAATAATATGTGGTCGATATTCTAAAATGAATATCTTGAACTGGGACTGCTTTCTGTCATGGCTACTCTGGTTTAATTAATTGTTCAAAAGTAGCCTGTGACAGAAATGACTTGTTTAATATTCCTCTCTTCATCCCTAACATTCTGGCCTATCATACATTTATATACATGACATAAACTGTAGAATAGTAACTGACAAACATTTTCTATTTTCAAAGTGTGGATACAAGTAAGTTTATGCCTTAGCATGAAAATACCTCTAGTGGCCTAACATACTATTTGCAATGTTTCCCTTATATTGCTGCAACAAATATGTCACAATTCCACTTGTTAAACCATGCAAGAGACTGCATTAATATTCACAATGCATTTCATAAGAAAATAATAGTAATGCTGTACTATTGTGTTTGAAAATCTAACCAACCTTTTCTCACTAAAAATGGAGAAAAAAAGACAGTAATACCTTTGTTAATTCATGTTAACAGAATAATTAATATTATATTACCATAAGATTACCATAATTTCATCCACCCATGGCATAATACTTACAAAAAGGAAACTGACTGTAGGTTTGCTTTGTAAAATTTACTATCTTCAATAACTGTAGTTTTCTTACACTTTCATCATTAACATTGAGCATCATTAGGTACTAAGAATAACATACAAACTACAATAGGAAAAACAATTCTAGTAACCAGATTCTAGAAGTAGTGACAGAGTCTAACATCAACTCTAACAAAATGTATGCAAACTGTTTGTGACCAGAAACCGCAGTAAAACACAAAGGAAGATACAATCTCATTCTCTTGTAACAGGTGATTTACTTCGAATGGCTCTTACTTCGATACAAAGACTCCTTCGTTGTTTCCCCAATTTTGTGAATCCAGTACATGGTATGTGCAATACAAATCACTAAAACACTTCCATCCTTCTCTGTTGAAATTGTCCTTTTCAACTAAGCCAAAACAAAAATGAGTGAGAGAAAAAAAAAGACAGAGATGGAGCAGGAGGATAGGAGAGAGAGAGAGGGGGGATGAGAAGGGAGAAGGCATGAGCAGGAGGAGAAAGATAAGAAGAGAGAGAGAGAGAGAGAGAGAGAGAAGTATGGGACAAACTTATTAACAACTGATAAACATTTCTTACCAAATCAAGATGCAAGATGGAATCTTACAGGAAACAAAGCCAAGCTGTGTCCATCCTACACATTTCTTGAAGTGGCTTTAGAACTGTACAACAAATTAACCTAATCTTTTGACAATTCAAAATAACATAACATGCTCCCACTCCATAAACTATTTGAGTCAATAAATAAAAGCAAAATTACATATTTCACTAATGAGAAACAAGTTATTTGTAAAACTAAAAGCTGTGTCCATGGGTATATGAATTTCCCACTAGTTCAAGAAGCATCCCCCAAGAAAATATAATAAATAAGTAAAAAAAAAAAAAAAAAAAAAAAAAAAAAAAAAAAAAAAAAAAAAATAATAACAAGAAATTAAATTAATAAAATAACAATATATTGGCCCTGAACACTATGGAACAGCCTTCCCTCCTCGACATAAACAAGACATAAACATAAGGCTTTACACAACCATAGCAACGCTGGACATCGAAACCTTTTGACACATTCGCGAAAAATGCAACTCTAACGCATGACCCAAAATGCTTGTGGTTGTACTTCTCAAATCGTGCAGGGAAACAATGATTCAAACGAAAGCTAACTCTGATTTCCTCTCCACCTGAATCCACTCAAACAAACCGTTCTGCAAGCTCGGAATATATATGATGAAAGAAATGAGCCAAGAAAGAAAGCAACCAACATCTTTCCTCTTCTTTTTCTTGAATGAATCTTAGTATTATTAAGCCATAAGAGTGTAGGCAGATAAGCAAACACTCATCCCTTTAATTTTACTAGTGCAAGACCTTCGTCATTTGTTTTTCTTTTTCCTCCTCTCTCTGCCATTGCAAAGGAGGGAGATTAGATATCAGAAAATGAACATATGGAGGGGGAAAAAAGGCAAAAATGGGAAAGGAAACGAACCATTACTTTCTCATATTAAAACCCATCACTATCTTATCCTCTTCACTTGATTTTTTTTCTTTTTAATGTTTTTTTTTTTTTTTTTTTTTGGCTATTTTCAAACACATCACATTTAATTAAAAAATCCATTCTTACAAGTTTACTTTTCCATTTATCTAATCAATTTTCCTTTTAATGGCAATAGCGTTAAAACAATACAGAAACATTCATTTATGCCACAATTTCATATGTAATATAACCACAGCTACTACATTTTCAAAATTATTTGCCGACATAAAAAAAAGGGCAAATACAAAATAAAAAATAAGTAAGGCTTACATTCCAATCACATTAAAAAGAATTTCCGTAAAAACAATCCCCACATTTGTACATTAAAAACTATTGAGGTTACCATGGGCAATTTGTGTTTTTGACCTCTAATTTTCCCTTTAATCAATACAAAAAATCATCATAGTAACTAAATAAAAAAAAGTAAGGAAGCACTTGATATTTTCATAAGATGCAGCTATAAAAAGAAAACCGACAAAATTGAAAAAGGCCATTCTGATAAATCATTTCTTGTGTAATAATAATTATAATTAAAATAAGAAAATAAAAAAAGCAGTTGCAGAGAGGAATTCCTTTAAAAAATTCTTGTATAATCTTTCTCTTGTAACATTTTTTTTTTTTTTTCTAAATTTCCTCTTGTAAACTATAGAAAAAAAGGACAAGAGTTTCCAACCAATGCCTTCATTTCTACTACAATGAAAACAAATACAGGACCAAACTACAATTTATGCAAATTAGCAATTACAAATTCTTCCTTTTACAACCATAGACGAAGGAGCACGACAGAGAAAATAATCATACTAATGACAAAAACATCATATGCCAAAGAAAGTGACAAAATAGTAACATGGCTTGAAGACGTGATATTACAATACAAAAAAATTACCAAAAAAAATGACAGGACCAGAAACTGTTACAGAATTTTTTTGTGTCTAGAATTTCATATGACTATACAGCAAGGCTGCATAGCATCCTATACACATACACAAAAGAATTAAAAAATAAGTAAATAAAAAATAAATAAAAGAATAAAAAATAAAACGTAACAAACCACCGACTTTTCATAAATTAACACAATGACTCAACATCTCGTCACAAAAGCATTACATAAGTGTTGGTTGTTGTTGGTGCTGTCTCCTCAGCCGTCACTTGCTCACAGAGGCCACTCGAAGCACACCTGTGTCTCTGACCCGGCCATTGCAACACAACTAAACTAAACAAACATCCATCAGTCATCATCAACCACTTATTTTTTCCTTTTTTTATATCTATTTTTTTGTATTTTTTGGTTGGGGGGGTGGGGGAGGAAGGAAATCTCTCACATCTGTTACGAAAGTCTTTTATATTTGTATTTGTATTTCTCATAATTCTTTTCCTTTCAATTTTTTTTTTTCTTCTATCTAATGTTCTATCTTTCTTGCAGTTACTAGAAAATATTTGTCACTTATTGCCTTGTTTATCTTTGTGCATTGATGTGTACATTGTTTGCAATTATCTGTCTAGGCTGCGATTGCTGTGGAAGCTGCTGCTGCATGACCATGGAGGGCGGCTGAGAAAGGGGCGCCTGGAACTGCGGCTGCTGGAACTGCGCCGGGGGAAAAGCCACCTATGGGGGGGAGAGGAGAGAAAAAAGAGCACATTAGAAGACACTATGGCTGATGCTTCATTTTCTTCTTACTACTATTATTATTATTTATAATAATAATGATAAACAACAGCAATAACAATAATAATAACAACAGCAAAAATCTCACTGATAGCACGATACTTGCAGTAACAGGAATATCAACAATTGTAATATCTAAAAAAAACAATAATAATGATGTTAAATCCTAATAAACATGAAACACAATGAAGAGTTGTTAATTAATAACAGATTTATTAAAGCAGTTATGTTCCTTATTACAGAGAGGAGAGGAGAGGAGAGGAGAAGGAGAGGGAAGAGAAGAAGAAAGGGAACAGGAGGGAATGAAGAGGATGGGGATGAGGAGAGAGGAGAGAGGGAGAGAGGAGAGGAGGAGAGAGAGGAGAGAGGGAGAGGAGAGGAGAGGAGGGAGGAGAGAGAGAGAGAGAGAGAAGAAGAGAGAGGAGAGAGAAAGAAGAGAAGGGACGGAGAGAGAGGGAGAGAGAGAGAGAGAGAGAGAGAGAGGAGAGAGAGAGAGAGAGAGAAAGCACGAGAGAGATGTCCAGAGAGAGAGAGAGAGAGAGAGAGAGAGAGAGAGGGGAGTGGGGGTGGAGAGGGACGGAAGGGGAGAGGGAGGGGGTCAAGGACAAGGAAAGAAGCGGGAGAGGAAAGAGAAGAGAGGGAGGCAAGGATAGGAAGAGGAGGAGAGAAGAGTTATAGAATGGGAGAAATGGCAGGAGGGGAGGGGAAAGGAAAGGAAGGCAAAGGAAGGAAAGAAAGGAAAAAGAAGAAGAGGAAAAGAGATGAAGGGAGGGGAGGTAAAGTAGGGAATGAAAGAAGGGAAGGGGGAGGGAGGAAAGGAAAAGAAAGGAGATGAGGAACAGGAAGGGGTAGAAAGGGGCAGAGAGAACAAGGAAAGACAAACGAGAGGGAGAGAAGAGGAAGAACTGAAGAATGGAAAAGGAAGGCGTGGAGGGTGAAAAGAAATGAGAGAGAATTATCTACCAAGTTCAAATACTTTGGGCAATAGCTTTTCAAAGTTGAAAAAAAAGTCACCTTTGCATTTCTAAGAATGTCAAAGGAATGACACTCAATAAAAGCATACTCCCAAACTAGATCAAAACAGATATGAACTTCATCCATTGAGGAGGGAGGAGTGAAGAGGGAGGAGGAAGAAGAGGAGGAGGGAGAGGGGAGGATAGGGAGGGGAGGAGGCCAGAGGGAGAAGGAGGAGAGAGGAAGGGGGAGGAGGGGAGGAAGGGGAGGAGGAGGAGAAGAAGCGGCGAGGAGGGGGAGGGGAGGAGGCAGAGGAGGAAGGAGAGGAGGAAGGGAGAGGGGAGGGGCGGGAGGCAGAGGAGGAGAGAAGGAAAGGATAGAAGGGGAGGGAGGAGGAGGAGGAAGGGAGGGGATGAGGAGGAAGGTTGAGGAGGCAGAGGAAGAGGAGAGGAGGAGGAGGAGGGAGGAGGAGGAGGAGGAGGGGGGGAGGAGGCAGGAGGAATGGAGGAGGAGGAAGAGGAAGGGGAGGAGGGCGGAGGGGAGGAAGGAGAGGGGGGATGGGAGAGGGAGAGGGAGGGCGAGGAGGGCAGAGGAGAAGGAGGAGGAGGAGTGGGGAGGGGAGGAGGCATGAGGAGGAGAAGGAAGGGGAGAAGGAGGAGGAAGGAGGAGGGGGAGGGGGAGGAGGCAGAGGAGAAGGAGGAGGAGGAGGAGAGAAGGGAGGAGAGGAGAGGAAGAAGTGGAGGAGGGGTGGGGGAGAGGCAGAGGAGAAGGAGGAGGAGAAAGGAGGAGGGGAGCGGGAGGGAGGAAGGCAGAGGAGAAGGAGGAGGAGGAGGAGGAGAAGGAAGGGGAGAAGCTGGAGGGGAGGAGGAGTAGGATAGGGAGGAGGGGGAGGGGATTGAGGAGGAAGGGAGGAGCAGAGCGAAGAGGAGGTAGGAGGGGAGGAGGAGCGAAGGAAGGGGAGAGGGAGGGGAGGAAGGAGGGGGGAGGAGAGGAGAGGGGAGGGAGGGAGAGGGAGAGGGAGAGGGAGGGGAGGAAGGAGGAGATGAGGGGGAAAAGGGGGAGGAGGGGAGGGGGAGGAGGAGGAGGACGTCGAAAGAGAAGCGGAATCTTCCGGAGGGCAGTCTGGGGGACGTGAAGGGGGAAGTGGAAGTGGAGGAGAAAAAAGAGAGCAAGAAAAATGATGATATGGAAAGATAAAAAAAAGGGAGGAACAATAACAAAAATTGGGAGAAGAGAAAGAGAGAGAGAGAAGAGAGAAAGAGAGGAGAGAGGAGGAAAGAGAGAGAGAAAGAGAGAGAGAAAGAGGAGAGAGAGAGAGAGAGAAGAGGAGAGAGAGAGAGAGAGAGAGAGAGAGAGAGAGAGAGAGAGAGAGAGAGGAGAAAAAAAAAACCCCCTCCCTCCCTCCCTCTCCTCCCACGCACACAGCCTATCCATGCCATAGGCCTACCTACCGGAGGGCGACGTTGACAATTTATCCTGAGTTGACATCTTTGAGAAGGCTGCCAGCGCATCTGGGAAGGCGGGGGGCGTGGCAGGTGTGTTGGCAGGTGTGCACAGCTGTTGAATGGGAAACAAAATTAGCCTTCGTTTTTATACATGTGTTAATGTAAAAAAGAAATGTAAAAAAATATGTAAATATATATATTTGTGTGTGTGTGTGTGTGTGTGTGTGTGCTGTTGTGTGTGTGGTGTGTGTGTACAAGTGTGTAACAAGAGCACACAAATAACACTACACAATAACAACAATATCAATACCAATAAAACAATACAACAATAACACTAATAACAACAACAAACAACAACAATGACCATAATAAAAACTAATTCTGCAACATTCGCCGGACTTTCTCAGCAACGGCAGGCCCCCTTTTCACATAATCCCCATATACCTGTAGAAGAGCGACCACTTGGGTCTCCCGGGCTAAATAAGGGGGACTTATCTCAAACTCTTGCAAAAACTACAAGTTGCTCCTTAAAAAAAAAAACTTGATTCCAAGAATTCGGGGCCCATTTTCTTTTTTTTATGTTTTTCGCGCCAAAGAAGCAAGAATTTTAAATGGAGGAGAGAAGGACGTTATTTTTAGCAACGTTGTGCCTTTAGACCGTTTTTCGACCATATTTTTTTTTCGGTCACACCCGATTTTAAATAATCTTTAATAAATGAACTTGAAATTTGGACAGATATCGGATATTTATCGGGATGTTTATATAAAAAAAAATTTTTACTATTTAGACAAGAGGAACTGAAAACTGATTAAACACTGCCTGTGTCTGCTTCATCATTATGCAATATTTAAACCGAATTTATCTCATGCCAAAGCTAAACGTAACTGTTCAAATTTCTTTTTTTTCCATCACACTTATTAGCATAAATCTAACTGTATAAAACTGAGCCATTATTGCAGTTTCCTGTCCATAACAATGCATCACTTTAATATCAAGCCAATTTACAATTACAATTGATTTCTGATTCCCATAATTAAATCTGTCATAGTAAAATTAAATACACATAAGCGGGGGTCACACACGCGCGCGCGCACCACACACACACACACACACACACACACACACACACACACACACACACACACACAACACAACTTACACACACCACACACACACACACACACACACACACACACACCACACACACACACACACACACACACACCACATCACACACACACACACACACACACACACACACACACACACACACACACACACACACACACCACACACCACATCACACACACACACACACACAAAAAAAAAAAAAAAAAAAAAAACACGCTGAACAATTAAAATCAAACAGTTTAGCGGAGTTTCCTCCCTGCCGCTGGTCGTCATAGCAACGGCAGACCGGGGAGGGGGGGGGGTGCGTCTTTAGTTCGTCTGCGTTTGTCTGTGTAAAATTCCTCTTGGCTTTTTTTATTTAGTCTATTTTCAGTTTGTCGAAGTTTTTTGGCATTGCGTTTTTAAAATATTTCTTTAGCGACATTGCCAATTTATTTCGTATTCATTTTTTTGTATTAAGTTTTAGACAACTGTGTATGTAATTATCTTAAGCAATTGCTATCTGGCATTATACATCCGATTTTTAAAAATGTTCTTTCTTAATGTTGAATGTTTTTATAACCCACGTAAAATTATTCCGTTTGTATGCGCTGTAAAGGTTAAGAAAAAATTATTCACTCCCTATGTTCTTCATTTCGAACTTGATGGTAACAAAGCGACCAAAATTAATTACATCATTAACCGAAAAGTAAACAAAAAGCTTGGAGCGAAGGGCGGGTATAGCAATAATAATAATAATAATAATAATAATAATAATAATAATAATAATAATAATAATAATAATATAAAAATAAAAATAATAATAATAATAATAATAAATAAGACGGAGGAATATTAATGATAAGATAACTGATAAATAAAAACAGAAATAAATCCTTGGTGCGATCGTTTGCTGCCTGTGAATTTTCGCGAACTTGGTTAATGGAGAAGGTCGGTTGATTGTAGTAGATAAATTGCTCGTAAAATGGAACATGAAAACTTGATTAACAGGTTTACGCACACCGGCGCACCAACACAACACACACAACCACACAACACACATCACACACACACACACACACTACACACACACACACTACATCATAACATCCCTAC